ACTCATGAAGACAATAGAGCCTAGCTTGAATCAAGTATATGTTATGATTATAGAGGATGAGAGTCAAAAGTCACAACCTTTTTCACCTTTAACAGGGAAAATTGATATCATGGCTATGCATGTAGGTCGTGGACAACCATACAAAGGAAAGAATCCTAATATGCAATGTGAGTATTGTAATATGAGGAAGAACTAAGTTGATTAGCTACCCGGCTGACTTTAAGGCAAAGAAGAAGTTTGTTGTCAATAATGCAGTTGGGAACAATGTGGTAGACAAGAAATCTCAGGTAGTGGAAGGTAAGGTTGCAGGTGAATCTCCAAAAGGTGGATATTTTTCACAGAAGCACAATACAACCAGATCCTTGGTATGTTGAATAGGAACAAGGATGTCGCTGGACCTCAAGCTAATTTGGCAGGTATTACCACATCTTTTATGGCAGACTTAGGTACTACTGAATGGATTATAGATTCTGGTGCTTCTCACCATATTATTGTCTCACTTAATACCTTAACAGATGTTAGTGAATTGAGTTCCAAGGAAGAAGTTGACTTACCTAATGGAGCTAAGTCCAACATACTACACATAGTAATTGCTAAGTTCCTTGAAAGTATTAGGGCTAAAGATGTGCTATATGTTCCAGATTTCATATACAATTTGCTAAGTGTGTCCAAGCTTACCAAAGCCTCTCTTGTTTTGCCCTGTTTTTTTTCTGATTTTTGCATTTTTCAGGACCTCTTCACTGCGGGATGTGGGAGATTGGTAAGGAGCATGGTGTTCTATACATTATGAGACAAAGAAACAGTTACAGCAATATGAAGGATCTAGTGAAGAGTGCAGTGGTGCAAGGAACATCAGTAGACAGTAGTCTTTGGCATCGCAGATTGGGGCATGCTTCAATCAAGACTATGAAGCACATATCATTCCTACAAGATAAAAATTTAGATGTAGCTGTCAATAAAGATTGTTCCATTTGCTCATTAGCAAAGCAAAGTAAGTTGTTGTTTCCTACTAGTCATACTATTAATGAGAAACCATTAGAACTGATTCACATGGATGTATAGGGTCCTTATAGGATACCTACTCATGATAGAAAGTATTATTTTTCCTTACTATAGTAGATGATCATACCAGATTCACATGGGTTTACCTGTTGCAAATGAAGAGTGATGTTGCTACTGTACTCAAAATGTTTCATCCATTAATAAAAATACAGTTTTGTACTGTTCTAAAAGTGGTTAGAACTAACAATGAAACATAATTCTTTAACAAAATATGTATTGACTTGTTCAATTCATATGGAATAATTCATCAAAGCAGTTGTGGGCATACCCCTCAGCAGAATAGGGTAGCTAAGAAGAAGCACATGCACATCCTAGACATTGCTCGAGCATTGAAGTTTCAAGCTCAGATTCCTACTAGATTCTGGGGAGAATGTATAAAATGGGCTGTCAATTTGATCAATAGGTTGTCAACTGAAGTTCTATTGGAAAAATCACCACATGAACTACTGCATGGAAAGCCACCATCCATTGATTATTTGCGAGTTTTTGGGTGTTTTTGCTATGCCGCAACTGTTGTCAGATATAATATAAAAGATATATATATATATATATATATATATATATATATATATGCTTTTATGTGGGTTGCGCATGTGGCGACACAAGGTGGGAACATTATGATGCACGTGTGGCGAAACAAGGCGGGCACTTATTATGTTATTATTTGCACACGTGACGAGACAAGGTGGGCTATGTCAGGGATCGATTGTGATGATTTGTGATGGCCTGGGGGCATTCTTGCTGTTTGATATTGTGTTGTGGTTGCTTACCTGTATGAGTTTCATCTTGTGGAAGTTGTGAGAAAACATCTTACGTGCCGTCCGTTCTTTTTCTTATGCTTATTAGCTGGTAGGAACTATGTTAAAGCACTTGCACAAGAATACACGTAGTTAAACACTCCCATTGGATATAAAGTTCTCCTGATATTGCTGACTATAGATGTACACCCTCGTCTACTTGTCATATATGTGAGAGTAGCTCTAGTTAGTAAGTGAGTTATCAGCGTGACCATGAGTTGTGATGGGGGCACAGGATGCCAAGTGTTAGGGTTCAGGTATTGGGACCCTTGAGCTGTAAGTTGTCCGAGGTTCAGTATTTCGTGGAGTCTGTTGGCTAAGACTTGATGTGAACACTGTCGTAGGTTCTAAGTTATTGCTTACCTTTAATGTATTTGTGATTTAGGTTTTGGGTTTGTGATTTCGCTCGCTCTTCTATGTCATTATTATGGTATTTTCACCGTTGCTATTTTTCTTCCCTCTGTGATTGTTGTATTGTTAGTCATAATGTGTAGTCTTTATATGTATACATCATGTTCCGTTGTTCCTATGCTTATATTTGTACAGTCTATTAGACCGATAGGTGTCTTGACTGTTCCTCGTCACTACTCCACCGAGATTAGTCTTGATACTTACTGGGCACCGTTGTGGTGTGCTCATGCTACTCCTCTGTACATTTTTGTTGTGCAGATCCAGGTGTCGATTGTCAGTAGCTGTACGGACCATTGCTGAGGAGACTCAAGGTAAACCTGCTGCTGCATTCGCAGGCTTCAGAGTTACCTTCTTACTTGTATTCAACTGTTTTCACTCCTTTCCAAACAGTTTATATAGAAGTGGTAGCTAACTCTGTAGAGCTTATGACTTGTACTACCGGGTTTTGGGAATCTGCTCATTGTATAAAGGATTCATTCCAGAAAAATTTTAAGATGTTATTTATTATTGTTGTTCTTCTGTAAATATTAGGGTTACCTAGTCCTTAAGACTAGGTGCCGTCACGAAACCCAACGGAGGGGAAATTGGGTCCTGACAATCAAGGAGCTGGATAATAAACCCAGGCTAATTAATCTGCTCCTACTATCCAGGCATTGCATAAGGACCAAGTCCATGAATGTGGCAATGTGCCTTCTTTCCTGCTTGGGCAGCACGACCTTGTTAACAAATTCAAATAGCACTTTGTGGGGTGGCTTCTTCTCACTTTTGTGTACAGCCTTTGCCTCTGGCTCTAATTCATTGTCAGCAAACTTTCTTGTAATGGCATGGGAGGTAGGAAGATTCTCTAAACTTGGCCACTTGAGCTTTTTGTAATCATTGTACCCTTCATCAGGTACACCTAGAATCTCTCCCTATTCCTTGTTGTCGAAGCTCACAGTCACTCCCTTCACCACACTGGTGACTCTGCCATTTATGATCTCACAGTTTGCCATGAACTCTACAATCTCAGCCCTGGCAAGCCTTCCATCCATCTGAAGGACCATATCCTTCTAACCCTACAGATGTAGTCTTTGTAGCAGCATGACCATGCCTTCCTCCTCCAAGTCCCTGAGGAGTCTACCCTTCAAGATGGTTCTTTTACCAAACTTCTCCATCTTGTCCTGTTCTTCAATGATTTCTTCTTCTTCTTGTTCTTCACTCTCTTCTTCCTCCACTATTTTCATGGCAGACCTTGTTTTTTCGCCAAGGTAGAAGGTTCTGCAGACTTTGTCTTTGAAGGAGACTTCTTTTTGGAAGTCTTTCTTTTCTTTGTCTTTGGATTCGCAACCTCTTCCTCCTATGCCTTGTCTTCATCACAAAGAACCAGGTTCATCTCCTCAATTTCAACTGCCTCAACTGGCTCAACCACTTTCTTCTTTCCCTTTGCAGTAACTTTTCTTTTACTCTCTTCTAGGGTTTTGTCATGACCCAAACCAATGGGCCATGACGGGCACCCTGTGCCTTACCCAACCGAGTACCAACTTAACATATCTTTCTTGTCATACCATCATGGATAAATGGGCCAGAAGGGCCTACAAGAGATAACCAGAATAAACTATATGGGAATACTAGACATAGGATGACCCAACATGATATAACTTATAAATGTGAGATATGGGCCTGTAAGACCAACATGATCATTTGTATACTCAAAACATAGGGTGACAAGGCCATATAAGTATCCATATACATGACATCTGTCTACAAGCCTCTAAGAGTACATAAGCGTCATAAAGGTCGGGACAGGGCCCCGCTATACCAATCAATACATGTCCAAATCATACTAACCAAATAGACAACTTCGGAGCAAGTGGAGTGCACCAACACCTATCGATACATGCGGGCATGAAACACAGAATCCCCAGGCCAAAGGGACGTCAGTACAAATAAAGTACCGAGTATGTAAGGCATGAAAGCAGTATATAAAAGACATGAAAAAAATATGGAGTAAAGAACTCAACCTGTAAGTCTGAATAGCTATGAGAATCATGACATTTATATGTCATGCATATGCATATAAATGTCATATCATGCATAGGTATATGCGTACATAACATCATCAAGCCTCTAAGGGCATCTCATCATNTTTTGGGTGTTTTTGCTATGCCGCAACTGTTGTCAGATATAATATAAAAGATATATATATATATATATATATATATATATATATATATGCTTTTTATGTTGGATTTTTCTTAAAATGACACATTTCAGCTACACAATCTGCATATCTTCATAAACTTTGTGGTCAACGCCAAAAGCTATTCTTGAATCTACTCTAGAAATTTTTTTCTACTAATTGAGCTACCGCGGATTTATTCTAATTTAAAATTCATGGATAATATTACATGTTAATTACGTTATTAATACTTTAAGAATCCATATGTACGAGGACAGCGAGGTCTATCACAAATAAAACATGAACCCCTTAAGTATATTTATACGTGGCGTCATCCTACTGGTTAATCAAAGCCCTCCAACTCAAACACGTGGAGAAACACCAAAATCGATTTTTTTAAAATTTTTTGCTTCATTCTGTCATACAACTTTAATCCACTTTCATGCAACTACGTGGAAACTCACTTCACACCTCATAACTAAGTGCCCATTCCTTCTTACTCGTCAATTCAACTATATATTCCTCTCCCTCAACCCTCACTTCCATGTCCATAACCTTGTCATCTTAAAAAAACAACCAAGAAAGAAAAAAAAAACCTTGCTAGGAAAATGGAAGATCATCAAGAAAAAAGCAATATTCATATGTATAGAGGAGTAAGGAAGAGAAAATGGGGGAAATGGGTGTCGGAGATACGCGAACCGGGGAAGAAAACACGAATATGGCTAGGAAGTTATGAGACACCGGAGATGGCTGCAGCAGCCTATGATGTTGCTGCATTTCATCTAAAAGGCGAGAGAGCAAGACTCAATTTCCCCGAATTAACCGATAGTTTTCCAAAACCCTCAAGTTCTAAGCCTGAAGATGTGCAAATGGCAGCTCATGAAGCAGCAATGAGGTTCAAAAGACAAACTCCGGAGCCACCCGAGAGCGGTGGCTGTGGCGGTGGTGGCACGGTGGTTCCGGTGAGGGTAGGTCTATCGTCGAGTCAAATTCAGGCGATTAATGAGTCGCCGTTGGACTCACCTAAAATGTGGATGGAGCTAGCTGGGGCTTTGTTATTACGAGATCCTGTTAGAGAGTACACTTGTTCCTCGTATTCTTTTACCGATCCTATGGTATTGGGTGAAGACATGGTTGAGTTTGAGGAGTGGGATGAAATGCAACAGCATCATGATTCCATTTGGGATTTTTAGGTGGAAAAAAAATTCCATATGGCCCCTTTTAGTATTTATATTTTAGCAAAGATTATTAGGGGCCAATTTAAGAAGAAGAAAAAAAAGAGAACAAAAGCTTAACGAAGGTTATTTATTTTTTATTTTCCCCCTTTTCTGCAGAAATAGAGATTCTTTTAGAGAATATTTGTTATATTGTAATCTTGAGGAGTCCATGACGATTTACTAAATCAATAGAAAAAAGATAATGGTGGAGCCTTGAATTAATTTGATTTTGCTTTTCTATAGCCTTCATTTCTTTCCCTAATAAATTTTTGGGTGGGCCAAAGAATCTTCGTATGTTTAGAGTTTATTGCAGACACAAGATTAGTTTGTATTTATGTTGTATGTCACAGAAAATGACATCGAAAAGTATTTTTCACTTGACAAAATTTTAGTTTGAATCTTCTAAAACTGATTCACAAACTAACACTTCAAAGTTTCATCTTTTCCATTTTTTTCTGGTAATAATAACATAAATTATATATGCACCAATCTTTCATTTTGTAAAAGAAGCTCTTTGGATATTACTAATTATTTTCACTGAATTCTGGGTCTGAGCGCTTAGCAGCGAAGGTGGAGCTAGAAATTGAAGTTTATGGGTTTGATATTGTAGTCCGTTTATATTACTTGATTCTAAATTAATAATTTCGTTTAATAAATTTCATAAGATAAATATAAGATTTGAACCAAATTTTTTGAGTTTTACCGAACCTAACTTCTATGCTTAGCCGTCCCTACTTCCACCTTTATTCTTATGCAACTACTTGGCCTGGCCCGGACTTTGATCACGCCCAACTATGCCTTATAAAAAGGACAATGCGGTCGCTGCAAATATAATCCCGTTTACAAGTCCGGAGTCGAATCCCACAGAGAACTAAGATTTAGCTACAGCTGTTCACTATCACCAAGAAGACAAGCTTGAACAATTCCTAACCTATAGATATTAAGATTCTTGTATTTAACTACTTAACTAATAAATTAAAATAGTAAATTAACAACTAACGACACTGAGGGTTAGAGAAAAGATTAAGGAGGTGTAGAGTTATGATTTCCCCTATTGTCGGAATCCTTCCCGCTATGTTTTCTATAACTTCGCCTAAGTATTCTCTATCGATCATGGGCACTCTTATTACCGTAAATCTCTCCCGAGTAATTACGACAATTTACTAGACGCACTCTCCCGAGCTACGCTAGCTGGCTTTTAATACAGCTCACTTCAGATCGCACCCAAGGCTTCGTTATCCCTAATCCCGCCTTTAAACCCTCGGTTATTGCTCCCTCATATACTTTGGGAGTGGTGTTGTTCAACAATTACCTAAACATGCACTCTCTCCCGAGTTATGCATACTAAATAGGCACAGCTAATTGAGAGCTCTTCAACCAACCACAATATAAACGTAGTTGAACAAATAGAGAAAAGCTATGGCTCAATTATATAAAAACATAACAAGAATTTATCCTACAAAAGGTTCTATCAAAACTCTAGATAACAAATTAGCTATTCATAATAGTATGTAAAACTACAATACTAAAAGTCATAACCAACAATGAAAAATAGGAAGAGGAAGGAAAAACTCGTAGAAGTATTCTCCGCCTTGCTCCCAATGTGTTCTTGCCCTAAGTGTCTCCATCCTCGCCTCCTTAGATCTAATTTGTGTCCAAAATATGTCCTCTCTTGTTCTTGGCCGGCCTCCTTTGTTTAATATAGGGTTTAGGACTTAAAATCCCATGTTTTGCACTTTAGTCCCTGAAATTTTCGCTTCCTGCCGCGGTCCCACCGCGGTCGCGGTCAAACCGCGGCCAAACATACTCTCTGATTCTTCAGTTGTCCGCAAGTACATTCTGCCGCGGTTCTGCCGCGATCGCGGTGCAACCGCGGTTTTTCACCCTGTTCCATTTGGAATTTGGAAAAACGTAAAACATGAAAGTTGTAGCCCTTTGAGTTAGCTTTCCAACCATGTATTGTGGAGCCCAAATGGAGTTCTGAGCAAAAAGTTATATCTATTTTACTAGATAGTGCGCAATATGCCTCCTCAAGTCTTCGTTCGTACTTAATTATCAAATTTGACCCCCGAACACGATCCCGGCTTAATTCCTTGAGCTTTTACTCAGACTTCAAAGCTTCAAATCACTTAAATTCATTACATAACATCTANCTTCGGAGCAAGTGGAGTGCACCAACACCTATCGATACATGCGGGCATGAAACACAGAATCCCCAGGCCAAAGGGACGTCAGTACAAATAAAGTACCGAGTATGTAAGGCATGAAAGCAGTATATAAAAGACATGAAAAAAATATGGAGTAAAGAACTCAACCTGTAAGTCTGAATAGCTATGAGAATCATGACATTTATATGTCATGCATATGCATATAAATGTCATATCATGCATAGGTATATGCGTACATAACATCATCAAGCCTCTAAGGGCATCTCATCATACCATCTCGGCCTCTGTGGGCAAAATCATCAACGTATATCAGCTGATCAGGTGGTGGTGCCTAAATAACGCCATAACCTTTCCCATACCCCATATACATATACTATATGCGTATATAACGCCATCTGGTCATGGGTAAATATACATGTATAAATGAATGTGATGCATAATGAAGTAAGTCAATAAGATCTCTCGGAATGTCATGAGACCCATGAACAGACGATATGATAGTAGGACATATGGGGAATCAAGAACATCAGCAACCCTAGTACTTCTAAGAATAGAATCATTTATGAAAGTTGCGTGTTTGCTCATTTTGTTGTATCATATGGATCATGCCAAAAGGAAAGAAGGGATAGCCTTAACATAACTTAACTCCGTTGAGTCCTTAACACCCTTCCAAGCAATTCTCCAAAGAACTCAACTCAATCTACCATAGCATAGGAGATTCAAAACCAGTGCTGAGTAAAGGCTAAGTCCGCAACTTTAATTAGTAGCTCGTTTATGTAAATTTGGGCAGCATCTTCCTTGTAACAAGGGACTCCTCCAATACCATATACCAACAATAACAACCAGAGAAATCCAGCAACATATAAATATCAATAACAAGACACCATATAGAAACAACAAGTCATAATTACTTCACGACGAACGACAAGCTCCGATTGGAATCTTTATACCCATATCACCCCTTATATACTTATTACTTTAACTTAAAAGTATCATTAACATGATAATGAAGCCATTCATCAATGATTTCAGCTTTATACCGTATATTTATAACAAAGAAAATAATCCACAACTCCAATTATCCTCAATTAGCAACTTTATTCACTAGTTCATGTCTAGTCCATCCATTTAACTTAATTAACATCAAGATAATCTTAAGCACATGAAACAACGCAATATACATACCTCCTAGAGTAGCTTCAAGTTAAAATCCAAATTATATTTAGCTTACAACAACCCTCAATGGCAATACAACACCATAGAAGTGACTTAAGCTAATCCAAGTATTATCTTGTAGTTTATCATCCTAACAACTTAACCAACATACAAGCAAGCTAAAGCATAATTAGTAGGCTATTATACTCATCTTAGCCAATAGCAACAACTTGAAATTTCAGCCTATCCTCAATGACAACACAACCTCAAAGAGGTGTTGTTCTTCACTAGAACTAACTTTTGATGTTGAAATATGGTGCAATCACTTCAACCCCTTATGGTATCTTTTTAGAAGGGTTAGGAGAAGTTTGGAAATGAAGTTGACTCGAAAATGAGCAGAAAATAGGCGTCCAAATCATTTTTAAAGTGAAGTAGGTCGAGCACCGCCTAAGTGGGTCCCATGGGAGCTGCTTGCGCAGTCTCGCAAAAATGCGAATATCTCTCTACTCCGATGTTGTATCGACAAACGGTTTAATGCCTTGGAAACTAGGATCGTATACCTAAAATTTGGTAGGTAGATAATCCCTTAATTCCAAGAATATTGAGAAGATACATTTGACCTAATATTGCAGCACGTTATGATGTAACTTGTGATGACCTTTGCCAACTTTTGTTCCACAACTTGCTTGACTTCAAAACGTAGCACATGTCTATCATACGACTCAAATAACTCATAAAATAACCTCCTTATCATGTTAAGAACCCTAGTCTCACCCCAGAGTACATGTTATAACATTCCAAACTTGTCGACTTTTGACGGAACTTATTTTCTTTAATTGGTTTAGCTTCTAAGCTTTCCAACCCCCTTGGTACTTGTTATTCATGATCTTAAATATTTGTAACCTCCAAGGTAACATGATTAACTTACTTTATATGATTCCAGATATAATCTCATTTCTGAGCTTATATCAATTGACTTACGACATACTCTCACATACGAAAAAACATGGGGTGTAACAGGCTTTTTCCAGTTCAGCCTCACTCTGCTTCTTCTGACTCCTTATAGCTCTTCCTCTTGTAAGAGGAGTCTTTACAGAGATAGAAAAAGCATCCTTCCTCTTCTTATTTGCCCTAGCAGTTCCAGGGATTTTAACTCCTGAACTCTTCTTCCGTTTAGGATTGTAACTGTCAGACACTCGTTTCAATAGGTCTTCGAGGGGTTCCTTCACAGATGGAACAGGTTCTTGGAACCTCTTCCTACACCTTACCAACCCCTCAGCAGCACTTGCATCTCCAGACCCACTACCCCCTTTTTCTCTCAATCTTTCTTCCTCTCCAGCAGATTCCTCACTCCACAATACCATAGCTCCTGTTTCTTCAATCAAACCAATAGGAGTGGGTGAAGATTCACCACTCCTTCTTTTCCCATTCCCCTCACATCACCTTGAGCACCCTCACTCTCTTTTTCTTTTTCCTTTTTATGTTTACCACCAGTTTTCCAAATTTAGTGGTTTCAACCCCAGCCATAGTTCCCACCAAAACAAACCTACTTTCCAGATTTTCAGCAACCTCGGAAATTGTCTCAGATGTAATTTTAGGACCAGATGTTACCTGCTCTGTTTGAGATGAAACAGTTTCTTCCCCCTCAATTGCAGACTTAAATGACCCGACTTGCTTTTAACTGCTCATTAGTTTTCTTGATTTGTTCTCCTCCGGCGACTACCTTGCGAGCAATCATCTTGAACCTTCCTTTCTTGAGGTGGGTGTGGTTGAAGGTGTGATAGATGGTGTGGGTATAGTTTCCTTGGGTGGTGAAGATGGATTTTCAAAGAGGTTGGCCATTGATGGTTGCAGACAAAGTGTGAGTGTTGAAAAGATGAAC